TTAATGGCATGTTGATTCTGATAACAGTACTACCAAGTACTACCGAAAAGGACACAAACGTATTGTGCCGCCAGATCAAAGAACTATAAGAGTGACTAGAGTTCAGGTATACTGATATATCTCCCAAAACTTATGCAACGTCGTTTTGAGAAATGTGAAACGTAAGAAACATTATATTATCAATTTCACTCGAGGCATTCTTTCAGATGAAAATTTTCGATCAATTATCATTAATTTGCATAAATCGGGAAAATCAAACGGTAAAATTGGAATATTGCTCGGGTTATCTAGATACAGTGTTCAAAATATTGTAAGATTATACGAATCAAATGCTTCAACTGCTCACAAACCCAGATATGTAAAAAAATCCAAATTAACAGACCCTGAAGACGAGCTTTGGGCAGAATTATCAAGTCTAATAGACGTGCTAACTACGGAGATTTGAGTGTACTCTGGAGTGAAACTGTTGGAAGACGTGTTTGCAATTCTACGTGTCATTCAGAAACAAGGTAAGTTTCACGAGTTCAATCCTAAGCAACAAGAGATAATTATTGTTTCCTTTGGAGCAGACTAAAGAAAAACTATTGTTGACCTTAAGCAGAAGCAAAACAGGTTAAAATGGGCTAAAAACCATCCAAATTGGGATATGGAGAGGTGGAATCGTGTGCACTGGAGTGACGAGTCACGATTCGAACTTTGCGTCGGTGATAGTCGGAGCAGTGTTATTCGCCAAAAACATGTAACTTATCATCCTGATTGTCTCAAGCGCAAAGTTCAATTTCCATCTTCAGTAATGGTCTGGGCTTCAATGTCGTGCAAGAGGAGTTGGTAAATTACATTTTATCAATAGCATTGTTAACTCAGATAAATATTTAGTCATCCCAGAGAAATTTTTGTTGCCTACTTTGGAGCAGAGCAGGATCTCTGGAAATGACTAAATCTTCCAGCAAGACGGTGCTGCCTGCAATATTTCCAAAAAAAACATGAAATGGCTTTTAGACCATGAAGTACCACTCCTAGAATGGGTTTCTAGTATTCCGGACCTTTCACCCATCAAAACATCATGAAAAAGAGGCTGCGTGCAAGAACTCAAGGAAAAACTGCATAACATTTGGGATAATTTCACTCCAGATGAGTATCAGGACTTAATAAATACCTTGCCTCGACGAATTGAAGCTGTAATTAAAAATACAGGTGATGTTACTCAGTGGTAAAATGAGTTACGAATTCTTGTTTCTTAGAGATAAAAATCACAAATTTGGTGGTTTCCCCTTTTCTCGCTCTAGTCAGCTCCAAGTGTTATGATTAGTTTAGTTTTTTGTGTAATAGAATTTTAAGATACTGTTTGCAAAATAAAAATTAAGAATTATGCCTCTATTAGTTTAAATGACCGTCAAAATATGCCAATAATTGCAAATTTACCAAGTGGGACAACTGAAGCTGAACGGGGCTCGTACGTGTTTACTTGATCGGGCAACCAGAAAGGTTTTTCAAAACCATCTCCGAACCAGTGACGAAATGAAGGAAACGATATGCCTGGAAATTAGAGGAATACCGCTCCAAATTACTGCTCGAGTGATGGAAACTTTCAGAAACCAACTTCGAATGTATATCGAAAACAATCGTCGGCACTTGGACTCTGTAATTTTCAAAACAACATGCATAGCATACATTTTCAATCAATAAAAATCAATTCTAAATAACATTTACTACGGCGTTTTTACTGAATCTTAAAATCATTTTGCCTGTACATTTCAGCTCGCTGGGCCTTCCATTTCCATTTACGGTAAACCATAACCCGCTTCACAAACAAATAGCCATGCCCATATACGAAAAGCAAACACTCTCACCGGACGATGTGAGATAAACGTTCAAGTGCAGGCCTGCAGGCGTCAGGTCTGCTGGTTACATTTTTCATACGTAATATTCGTACGTGATCAAATTGTGCATTCGCAATTTCGTAACGTGTGGATAGTGCACTATGTTGGTAATGTCAGAGTCACGCACGGAGGTACTTGGCGTATATTTTTCATATAGAGCACGGAGACACGGATATACATTTGAATTGTTGAATAGCAGGCGTTGAATCCTGAGAACTTCGAAAAGGTATGATGAAGCAAATGAAAAGCTTCCCTAAAGCGAACTCCTGGTCTCATTGACTTCTGCCAAGTGTAAATAGTAGCTTAGCTAGTGGAGCGCACGCGCACCTCGTGTGAGATAATACTTGCTGAGCGCGATTTTGTGTTTTGATAGTAGAAAAACAGTTTTACAATATTTTCATTTTGTTTTATAAAACGCTATCAATGAAGGAACGTCAATGAGCTCTTGTAGCCCTAGCACATCTAAGAACTATTCTCGGAGATCAAAATCAGATAAACCTCTTCCAAATATATCCTATTTTGGTCAGAAGGTATTATAACGTATGTCCTAAAAGTTTTGGCACAACATTTATTGGCTTTAATTTTAACAAAGACAAAATAATATCAAAATGCATATGGAAACAAAAGTTTGTTTACTTATTTTACTGTCAGTTGACATTTCTTTAATTCGAAGTTTTCGCTTTAAGATATATGGGGTGTCAATGATATGCACATATACTAAGTGACATATAAATCCGAACACCCAGTTTAAATGGTTTTCTTTTAATAAAAGTTGGTGGATGTATTTATCTTACTGTAAATAACAAGTGAAAAAATTTTCAGCCCTATCAGTTGGACATTCCGGTTTTTATACTGTTTTTTTTTAATTCACTAACGCTCTAAAAATGAATATTTCAGCCGCAGTAAAGAATCAACGTTGGCGGATTTTGGTTCTTGACATCCTTTACGATCGGTTACGATGCCTAGAGTACGGAGACCTGTACGATTTCGTCAACTTAGTGAGTTTGATAGGGGCCGTATAAGATTATTGGTCTTAAGTGACCGTTTCTCGGTTATTTATGTATTTATACTTAACTATATTTTTAATTTTTGTAGATAATAATGTACTCATAGAGATATGCCTGACGAGTCTTATATCATTTTTATGATCCGAAGACAATAAAGCATCTATCTATCTATCTATCTATCTATCTCCACTACCAGGTCCATTGCAAATGAATGGTTTGCAGAACACGGAAGACCTATTGGCATGCGAAGTGTTTACCGACGAATGAGAAGTTTTGGCTTGTTTTCATACCGGCCACACTGGGTCCTCCCTTTAACTCGAGAACACCAACGTAATCGCCTTGAGTGGTGCAGACAACGGTCACTCTATGATCAGGAATGGAACAGTATTGTCTTTAGTGACGAGCCTCGATTTTGTTTAGGCATGCACGATGGTCGTGGCAGGGTTAGAAGGCGACGTGGTGAAAGGAGGAATCCACAGTTTTTTGTTGAAAGGTTTGGGGTGGTAGCTTATGGTTCCAGGTCACATTTAATCTTCATCAGAGGTAACATGAACGCGCAGCGTTATATCCACGAAGTTCTAGAACCCCATCTTTTACCCTATTTTGACACCCTGGCAGATCCAACTTTCCAACAAGATAATGCCCGACCACATGTTGCAAGAGTCACAATAGACTTCTTTCAACATAATGTTGTCACATTGTTACCATGGCCACCAAGATCTCCCGACTTATCCCCAATTGAGCACGTGTGGGATATGATGGGTAGGAGATTGCTCAATTTGCAACGACCTCCTCAGACTCTAGAAGCACTTCGGGAGGAGTTGGTGGTTGCCTGGAATGAGATACCACAAGAGGACATTGACCACCTGATCAGAAGCATGCCTAGGCGCGTTGGAGAATGCGTAGCACATCAGGGTGCATCCACACATTATTAAAGGTCAAAGGGCTTTAAAGCAGTGCAATCATTTTGAAATTTTTATCATTTACTTATTATGCTTCATTGAGTACTTATACAAAATTTTATTAAAATAAAACCATTTAAACTGGGTGTTCGGATTTATATGTCACTTAGTATATTTAAGGACATCTACATGAAAAATTAATGTTAGTTTGCTTTATAAATTATGGTCCAAAAATGGTTCCTCGCAAAAACCCCGGTGTTGAAGTTTTAGGAAAAAATGGAAATTAATTAATATTTTCAGAACCGCCTCAGATACTTCATTGCGCTTTAGTACGTAGTGAAAGTTAATAAAGTTGCATATTTTTCAATGCAAAAATAATTTGTAGCTTTAACAGTGGCGTGCGTACAGGTATTGACTTCGATATTTTGCATTTTTGAATTCCCCGTTCAATTTAAAACAAATGATCTCTCTTGAATTGTTTTCCTTCGATGCGCCATTTTTGAGTAAAAAAATAGAAACCGTTCTATTGTCCGAGAAAATTAATGTAATAATTGTAGAGTGCAATTTAGTAATAAATATCTTCTTTCTCTAGAATATCTCACTGGCTTTTGACATCTGACAAGTCTCTGTTATTCGCTGGGACATCGTTTTCTTTATTTAGTTTTTACAATCTTGTTAATAATGGTGAATTATTCAAATGCAGAAATGGCGGAAATGCATTACGTATATGACCTTGCCGACGATAATGGTGATCAAGCCAGACGGATTTATCACCAGAGATATCCCGATCGTGCTTTGCCAGTTAGTCAGAACCTTTTCTAATATTCATCGTCGTCTTGTTAAGACTGGTTCTGTCCGAAAAGCAACATCTGTAGGTAGACCTCTAAGTGTGAGAACACCTGTACTGCAGGAAGTCGAAGAACATCCTGAAACGAGTACGAGGAAGATCGCTAGAACTTAAGTATTTGCCATCAAATTGTTTGGAGAATTTTAGTGGATTTTTTGTTATATCCTTGTCTGGTACGCATTCCTAACAGGGGTGTATCCCAACCTTTTGTGGGAAGAGTGATGGATGATGCTTTGAAAAGACACAGCTATATTGATAACTGCGCGCATTATCCAAAGCTACAACAATTTACAGATTTTGAAAATGAGACTATACTTGAAAAATGAAATCTACTGTATGCATAATTTCATAAACATTGTTTTAGGAGGAAAAACCAAATCTAGTTGTACCTTGGCTACTGCTAGGGTTATTCCGATCAATTTTCCTGAATTTCTTAGGATTTAGTACCGGAATATACGTATGTTTGATACAGAAAGGACACCATCCAGTCTGCTTGGAGTACATCATAGCGCAAGCAATCCAACATGGTCCGGAGGTGTACGCCTGGTTATCTATATTCAGGTGCGTAAGACAGTTTAAACGCGCAACTTTGATGGTTAAGCTTCGTTCACGCTTTGCCTTCGCGTCTTAAAAGTGTACAGTCGCGAGCAATATACTTGTGTAAGGTTCTCCCAATTATACAAAAAGTTTGAAGTGATCTTGACTCTCAAAAATAATTTATAGGTTTCTACCCATTTTTCCGTGACATGGGGAGAAGATCACGCAATTATTGTTGCTGCAAAACTTTGATTTCTCTTTGGAAAGTTTAGTTTTTAGCGATCTATTACGATAGATTGATGTTTTATTGTAAAACTAGATAAGATATCGAATGTGGCCAATTTATTTCAAAACTATCAAGGTGGATTGGGTGACAGGCAGACTAGTGAGGAAGTGATTATCTACTTCTGAGTAACCACGATTTAGGCTTTTTTTTAAATTGTTCAGAGTATACTGTCGAAATCTACATGGAAGATTATTGTATAACTTGGCAGTAGTATAAGAGGAGCTCATTTTGTAGAGAGAGACGTAAATTGCTTAGGTATAACTAATAATTGTCGATTTCTGGTAGCCAAGTTATTGATGTTTTCAAATTTGTTGAGTTTATTTTAAAAGATGTTTTGGTTTCTTATACACTAAAATTTTATGAAACAAACATAAACTTTGTCATTTTGTGATATTATCCATGTTCATTCTATACATCTCTCCTAGAGAAAAACTTGTCTTTATCACTTTTTATTATAACTGGGCCATATACACTTGCGCAGTATGGAACCCTTGAAATTATAAGAGCATCATACTTTTACTTCAGTTCTAATTGTCTGGATATTTTTCCTGGCATTACCATAATAATTCACCAAATTATACAGTATTAACGGGTTTTTTCTTTTTTTTTCATACACTGACTGTACTATTAGTTTTTATTTTGTACAAACCCAAACACAAGTGCAAACTTTTTTTGGGTGCTTTATGTTTATTGTGCACAATATTTGATATTTACTTGTATTTTGTGACAATAAACATTATTATTATTATTATTATTAATATTATTATTATTATTATTATTATTAATATTATTATTATTATTATTATTATCACACAATAGCATTTTCAGTTTCCTGTTTAATATACTTCTTTGAGGATATATTTGTTTGCCAATACTGTATGATCTTGAACATAATTCTTTAATATGGAAATCAAATTTTAATTCATTGTTCAACCATAACCCTAAATTTTTGCTAATGGTTACAATTAATGGTATTTTAGTATTTGCTAATTGACAAAGATTTTTTGCTATAATACGCTTGTTTCTTGACCCTCAAAATATTATTTTAGATTTATTAGCCCAATGGGTGCTTAGGCCTTAGGCCTTCGTGGTAGTTGGAGTATAAAAAATAAATAAAAATAAGTCCTTTGAGCTGGAAAAAAAGGAATAAAACCAAACTAGTTACATTATGAAGAATTATTATATTTTGTTATCATCTTTATTGAATGAGAATTATGTTTTAAAAATCACATCGTCTAAATGCAATCCACTACGATCACGGCACTCATATAAACGACGTCTAAAATTGTCGATGACTGCGCGGCAAGTCAACACTGTAATGCTTGCCATTTCTCTTCGGACATTTTCTTTCAGGACATCAACTGATCGCGGAGTGGTGTCGTACACTTTACTCTTGAGGTAGCCCCATAAAAAGAAGTCCATTGGGGTCAAATCTGGACTACGTGGTGGCCAGGAAATGTCTCCTCTTCGAGAAATTACTTTGCTGGGAAAAAGTTGACAGACGACGGGCATAGAAGTGTTGGAGGTGTGGGCAGTTGCTCCGTCCTGTTGAAACCAGGTCTGCGTATTATAGCCTGGAAAATTCTGCAACGCTGATGTCAAAAACTCTTCTATCATTACTACATACCGCTCCGAAGTAACAGTTAATGCGCGACCTTTGTCGTCCTCAAAAAAATAAGGGCATACGATGCCATGCGCTGACATAGCAGCCCAAACTGTAACTTTAGGGCTGTGTAAGGGCTTCTGATGCTTACGCCTTGGATTTTCGGGGCTCCAATAACGGCAATTTTGTTTATTTACATGCCCGTTTAAATGGAAGTGAGCCTCGTCCGAGAACAACACATTATTGAGCGAAGAAAATCGATTCAACATTTCATTCGCAAAGTTTAGTCTCTGAATAGCGTCATTATCTTTTAATTCCTGCACTAACTGAATTTTGTAAGCGTGCAGACGTAAATCTTTCCTTAAAATCCGCTGTAAAGATGTTCTGGGTACGTTTAGTGCACTGGAACGCTTACGAGTAGAGTAGGATTTTGACGAACAGACTGTGCCACAATGTTGATGTTTTCTTCAATACGAGTTATCCTTGGTCGACCCCACCGCTGTTTATCTAACGTCGAACCAGTCTCTTCGAACTTAGCAACCCAGTTCTTAATCGTTTGAGCTGTTGGACACTTTGTAAAATTGTGTAAATTGTGGTATTCTCGATATTTACGCCGCGCAATGGTTGCCGAATCATTATTTTGATAAAACGCGCGCATACAAAAAGCACGATCCGCTCCAGTGAAACACTCCATGGCGACTGAATTCCCAGACACAGAAGATACTGCCCCCACCTCGCCCGCGCCGCTCACGCTCACCCGTTAAATTTTATTCAAATTTGAAATTTCAAAGGACTTATGGACCACCCTGTATAATACGTAATATTGGAATATGTAGGGTGTTCCTTAACGATATGCGAATATCTAAGGGTGTGAATCTACATGAAAAATTAATATTGGTTTGCTTTATAAACTATGGTCCAAAAATGTTTTCAAAAACTCGGTGTGTTCAAGTTTTAGGAAAAAAAATGGAAATTAATTAATATTTTCAGAACCGCTTCAGCTATTTCACTGATATTTAGTACATAGTGAAAGTTAATAAAGTTGCATATTTGTCAATACAAAAATATTTTTTAGCGGTAACAGTGGCGTGCTTACGGGTATTGACTTCGATATTTTTTGAGAAAAAAGTGGTACGCGAATGGTTTTTTCCCAAATAAAATTTAATTTTGAATTCCCCGTTCAATTTAAAACAAATGATCTCTCTTGAGTTGCTTCCCTTCGATGCGCCATTTTGAGTGAAAAAATAAAAGCCGTTCTATTGTGCGAGAAAATTAATGTAATAATTGAAGAATGCAATTTAGCAATAAATATCTAGTTGCTCTGGAATATGTCACTGGCTTTTGCCGTCTGACAAGTCTCTGTTATTCAAATCTGTTCGCTGTGTCATCTTTTTCATTATTTAGTTTTTACAATCTTGTTAATAATGGTGAATTATTCAAATGTAGAAATGGCGGAAATGCATTACGTATATGGCCTTGCCGACGGTAATGGTAAGCAAGCCAGACGGATTTATCACCAGATATCCCGTTCATGCTTTGCCAGATAGTCGAACCTTTTCTGATATTCTTCGTCGTCTTGTTAAAAATGGTTCTGTCCGAAAAGCAACATCTGAAGGTAGATCACTAAGTGTGAGAACACCTGAAATTGAGGAAACAGTGCTCGAAGTCGAAGTCGAAGAACATCCTGAAACGAGTACGACGAGGATCGCTAGACACTTAAATATTTGCCATCAAATTGTTTGGAGAATTTGAGTAGATTTTTTGTTATATCCTTACCATACTGTAAGAGTATAGGCACTACTTCTTATTGATTTTCCAAGGCGTGTGACCTTTTGTCAGTGGTATCTTCAAAAAATTACACAAAATCCGCAATTTGAATCAATGATTCTGTTCACGGCGAAGCTAATTTTTCACGAAATGCCATTCAGAATGTCCACAATAATCATTTGTGGGCAGAAGAAAATCCTTTTGCCGTAACCGAAACCGATTTCCAACACCAATTTTCGGTTAACGTATGGGCAGGAATTATTGGCAACCACTTTATTGGTTCATCATGTTCCGTTAGTAATAAGAAACAATATGTGATACATTCATGATGGTGCACCAGCGCATTTCAGTGTAGCGGTTTGTAATTATTTACTTACGAACTGTTTATCCAAATCGTTGGATTGGCCGCGGTGGGCCCCAAGAATAGCCACCAACGTCCCCAGACCTCAACAGTTTAGATTTACTTTTTGTGAGGCTATCTTAAGACACTAGTGTACACAAGTCCCACTAACACTGTACAGAAATTAAGAGAAAGAATAGTTGCAGCTTGTGATAGAATAAAAAACACTCCAGGGATATTTCAACGAGTGCGCAATTCCCTGAGAAGGAGGGCGGAAGCATGCATACTAAGTGAAGGGGGCCATTTTCAAATTTGTTTGTAATCATTTCGTTGGTTTTAATGTTATGTTTATGTTCTCAGTTGTTGTTGTTCATTACCCCATTACGTGTTTAAATTTTCCAATTAATAATAATATTGCAAGTTAGACAATAGAGCGGTTTTTATCTTTTTACTCAAAAATGACGCATCGAAGGAAAACAATTCAAAAGAGATAATTTGTTTTAAATTGAACGGGGAATCCAGAAATAATTTTTATTTGGCAAAAAACCATTGACGTACCATTTTTTTTTTTAAAAATATCGAAGTCAATACCCGTACGCACACCACTGTTGAAGCTAAAAATTATTTTTGCAGGAAACATTTTTGGGCCATAGTTTATAAAGCAAACTAACATTAATTTTTCCTACAGATTCACACCCTTAAATATTCGCATATTATTAAGGAACACCCTGTATAAACTAATCCAAGCAAAATAATCTTTTCACAGAAAAATGGGGGGATTTTCAACCCCCCTCACGGATATTCAAGTTTCTTGATTTTTGAGGATGCGTTGCCATCGTCATTGTCAATAGCAAAGTTTTTGCTGTGTTTTACATGTTTTGAAAAATCCCGTAAAATAAAAATAGTTGGAAATGGTTCCAGTAAGTGTGAGGTTGTCTAATTGAGATCCGGGTGCCTGTTTATGTTTTCAGATATCACAGGGCACTGATATTATCTGCCCGAAATCGTTTAATGGTTGATGAACGAACCAGAATGAAGAAAATCCAAAATTCACAATACAAATACTTTTCACGAACAAACTTCGCGGATGCCGTAGAAGACGGGAGGTAATATAAATAATACAAACGTTATATAAGGAAATTGCAAAACTCCTTGGCATCTGTTGACATTTTGAGCAAAACTGTGAAAAAAATAAGGATAAAAAACTTCAACTTTCTGAGCTTCACATATTTTTGTTGTTGTTGTTGAAGATTTACTTAGCATTAATTCTACAATGTCAATTTTGTATAATCATTCGGTTACATATTTTTCTTCAATCCATTTTCTGTAATTTTACATTCTTGTCTATTAAAATTAAAGTTACGTCACTATGTATTTTGATTATTCATCAAGTGATTTATTAATTTCACTTTAAACATTTTTAAATTCGATCTTTGTTTAATATGATTATTCAATTCATTAAATTCCAATACTCCCTTTTGAAATATAGATTTAGTAGTTATGCTACTAATACAATTTTGCAGATGAAAATCTATACTGCCTCTACTTTCGTAGTTATGATAATGACTATTTAATTTTGTCAAGTTCTCTAAATGTGGTGGTAATAAATAATTTTTTTATTTGAATATGAAAACGAGAACTAAATAATATATGAAATTTTTCACATCCAACCACGGCAGCTCTTCTAACATAGACTTAATAATCCTAGCATATTTGTTTTTATTTAAAATGATTCTCGTAGCTTTATTTTGTAGAATTTGTAATTTTGAAAATATTTTTTCATTTGATGTAAACAAGATGGCTGAACAATATAAAAAATGGGGAAGAATTATAGTGTTAAACACAATTTTTTTTGGAATACGTACTAAGATTATGGGAAACTCTATAGAAGTAATTTATCTTTTTTTGAAATAATGTATTCATAATGATATTTAAATGACTCAACTACTTCAATTTTTTCATCATTAATCATGAGCCTAATTGTATTGTCACCTAAATGTTTCCCTATTGACATACATTTTGTTTTATTAGTGTTTAATTTAAGTTTATTGACATTCAACCAATGAATAATTTTTTCAATGCACTATTTAACAGTTCTAAAGCAGTGTCCAAATGCTTATGTGCTATATATATATATATATATATATATATATATATATATATATAACTTGAGACGTGGTCATTGTCGTCTAGACCAGTTAGGTGAAATATATATATAGGTGAAAAATTAGAGCTTCCGCCTTTTGTTGGGTACTTCGACAAAATTTAAGCAAAGAGGACTCTTTATACTTTTTTAATTCTCTCTAGCTTTGCTTTGCCATCATCATCAGGAGCTGCAATTACAATGATAACAGTAGCAACAAAGGTGTAAAATGAATTTAAATTGACTCAACTTACAGTAGTATGTGAGGATGTTGCTAATTGTTGTTTACGTATAGGATGAGGGAAACGTCCAGTAACATGGTGAGAGCTGGATAGATGGTACAATGGTCAAAATTATATAAAATATGACAGAACAAGTTAAAAACAGATTAAAAATTATTTAAAAAACATTAGAGCATTACATCGTGAAGCCACTTGATGATTGCACAAAATGGTGGTCATGGAATAATGAGTGAGATGAAACCCTTTGACAGAAGGCCGAAGGTTGTCAATGTCTGTGTTGAAAGATGGAACGAATTGTGGGAGTGTGCCAAACGTTGCCAAATCACTTCAGATGATGTGATTTTCAGAATGTTATGTAAGAAATTGTTAAACCGACCAGAGGCAGTTGAATAAACTATATTTTAATTAATGGGAATTTAAATTGACAATTATTAATAAATCGTGAGAAGAGAATTATTATATTTTGAGTGGAATGAAATTTACTGGTGGAATCGGCCAAAACACAGATTCTATTTATGGTTGTGAAGAGTCGAAATTTGGGGAGATATGTAAGTTCTCCAATTTTTCGCAGTTTAGCAAATATGAGTAAATGACACTCAGTTGTTTAACATCTGTCTTTTTGTTGATACAGTTGTTATTCATGAAAATGTGGGACATTTCCAGGAATAAACGTTTGGAAAGGTGTTTTTCTTTATCAACAAAAAGACAGATGTTAAACAACTGAGTGTCATTTACTCATATTTGCTAAACTGCGAAAAATTGGAGAACTTACATATCTCCCCAAATTTCGACTCTTCACAACCATAAATAGAATCTGTGTTTTGGACGATTCCACCAGTAAATTTCATTCCACTCAAAATATAATAATTCTCTTCTCACGATTTATTAATAATTGTTAATTTAAATTCCCATTAATTAAAATATAGTTTATTCAACTGCCTCTGGTCGGTTTAACAATTTCTTACATAACATTCTGAAAATCACATCATCTGCAGTGATTTGGCAACGTTCAGCACACGCCCACAATTCGTTCCATCTTTCAACACAGACATTGACAACCTTCGGCCTTCTGTCAAAGGGTTTCATCTCACTCATTATTCCATGACCACCATTTTGTGCAATCATCAAGTGGCTTCACGATGTAATGCTCTAATGTTTTTTAAATAATTTTTAATCTGTTTTTAACTTGTTCTGTCATATTTTATATAATTTTGACCATTGTACCATCTATCCAGCTCTCACCATGTTACTGGACGTTTCCCTCATCCTATACGTAAACAACAATTAGCATCATCCTCACATACTACTGTAAGTTGAGTCAATTTAAATTCATTTTACACTTTTGTTGCTACTGTTATCATTGTAACTGCAGCTCCTGATGATGATGGCAAAGTCCATTGAAAGCTAGAGAGAATTAAAAAAGTATAAAGAGTCCTCTTTGCTTAAATTTTGTCGAAGTACCCAACAAAAGGCGGAAGCTTTAATTTTTCACCTAACTGGTCTAGACGACAATGACCACGTCTCAAGTTATATATATATATATATATATATATATATATATATGAGCAGCATTGCCAAAGCCAACGACCAGTTGGGCACAAAATACAATTAATTGTTAATTGGGAAATTGGCAAATTTTTAGGCTAAGTTGACTCTTTTGACGATAAAATCAAACTTTCGGCATTCTCTATGGAGCCTGGAAAACAGGACAGATTTAAATTGTCAAACAACTTACCACTTGGGTGGAGGTTTACCGAGCGTCCCTCGTATACTTCATACCCAAATTTGGACAAAGAGGTTTACAGTTCCACGGTCCGTCGCGTCAATCACGTGTCATCTGTCGACGCTGTATCTTTCTGTGCCGTCCCCCTCTCTACGTGTAGCGGAAGTAGGAGGTTAGAGACTGCATTCCGATTGTTTCACTAAAATGTCTTCTCACGTTTAATACTTTTTAATTTGTTCGGGTGGATTGATAATTTTAAGATGTAACGAAGGTATCTGTCGTTTTCAACAAGCCCAATGTCCCCGTCCTTTTGTTTCTATACTGATTACAAGGTCTATCTTCTGTACGTTCGTTTTGCAACACCTTGTGGCTGCAACCTCAACGGCGAGTAAGTTGTCCGACATTTTAAATTTGTCCTGTTTTCTTTGCTAGCATCACAACTGTGTTTTCAGAATCCTGATGAAGGCTCCATAGAGAATGCCGAAAGCTTGATTTTATCGTCAAAAGAGTCAACTTAAGCCTAAAAATTTGCATATATATATATATATATATATATATACGTATATAAGTGTATCGTCCGCAAATATTTGAATTTTGCAGTGTTCTAAAATGTCAGAGATACCATTTATATAAATAATAAATAGTAAGGGCCCTAATTTACTCCCCTGTGGCACCCCTACTGATATATTTTGAACACTTGACATAGTATTTCCAAATTTAGTTTTTTGACTTCTATTTACTAAATAATTTTGTATAATGTGTAATACTGATCCTGTAAAGCCATAGTGACGCAATTTCATTAACAATTTTTCCCTATCTATAGTCTCAAATGCCCTTTTGAAGTCTAAAAATATTGTTACAATTTATGCTTTCTCATCTATACTTCTTCTCTAGTCTTCCACCACCATTTGGATTGCCGTTTCTGCGGAACATTTTCTAAATCCAGGTTCACTTTTTATCAAAATTTTGGTTTCTTCAATGAATTCTATAATTTGTTCGTATATTATCTCTTCGAACAGCTTCTTGACATCACAAGACATTAGTAGGACGCATATTTGTATACAGCTGAGAATTTTGAACTTTTGGCACAGGAGTAATGATGGAATACTTTAATTTTGATGAGAATTCACTTGAAATTTTGTCAAATTTCTTATTAGATTATTAGTAATTTTAAGTCCACCATTACTGAACTTTGTTTAAGAAATGTTATAACTGAATCAGCCATAGAAAATGTGATACACCATATAAAACGCACCAAACCTACTCAATGCCCATCTCGATCTTTGGATGCTCTTATCGAATTGAAATCTGCCAAGATACGAAAAAATGACTATGAGTTAGAGGGCGACCATGAAAGTATAAAAGAAAAGGTTATGAGAATACTCAATGTGGTTTATGAAGACATAAAGAAAGCCAGGATAGCCAAGGAGAAGAGGCCTCCTTGGAAATTTGCAGATTTGAATATCGAAAAGCTGTTAATGACATCAGGTGATATTTTTATAGAACGATTGAGATTACTAAAGCTTGACAATGACACTTACACAGTTTTGGAATCAGTAGTAGTAGACTATTCGGTCTCCTGCGGGTTCGAATCCCGTCCGAGGAGAAATTTTTTTCTTGGCTATGGATGTTGTGATTGTCTGTAGGTGGTAGGCGGTCTCCGACTGTCGAATGCAGAGGTACCACCCGGCGGATCTCGTACTCCAGAATGTGTGCATGTTGCATGCACACGTGTTCCCTCGCCAGAGTCCGTGTGGTGTTCCTCCTTTCCCCTGTATCCCCCTATAGCCCCACGGTACCCCATGGGCGTTTAGGCCTTAGGCCTTTGTGGTGGTTGGAGTATAAAAAAATGATAAAAATAATTTACTCCATATACCGAATGGCCCATTACAAAAACAATTTTTACTTATTGTATATACAAAGTTTTCCAATGAACTCGCATGACTTTCGACAAAAAACATCTATAATGTACAAAATTAATTACTTCAAGCTTTCTTCTTTTCCCACGACATTGCAAAACGATATTAGAATTCGACGCTCTAAAATATCTAAGCGTACTTTGTGCCCCTTTGGCTGATCTTACAATGAAATATTTATTCATCATGTATTTTCAGAGAGGAGACATCCGAATATATATTCGCATAAAAAGAACAATCATACATCTTCGCTAGAGAAGAAGCGGACACCATCAGAGGAGTCTGTGTACGAAGGAGCAATTGCAAATGAGATTGAGTTACGCTGTATATCTCTTGGTGGATCTAATACCAGTTGCTTTGATTTGGAAAGTAAAGATAATATACATCATGCTCGAAGCAAAAATGTTTCGAGAGTCTAGGAAATATTAGATCCAGGCACCTCCAGGTGAGTGTGAGTCCTTTGAGCTTGCTCAAATTCAAATTATTTTATTATCCTAAGAGACATTACAAAGTATGTATAGGATTCGTCGGAATAAAAACTAATAAAACAACACAAAATAAATATATGTATAAAAGAAACACACAAATAAATCATAACATAACAAACTCAGAGACGGCATAATAACATTTACACACAAGAAAATCTGTTAGTTTAGCCTTAAAATGATGCATATCTCCACACCCTTTAATATGGTTCGGTAGCCTATTGAAAATTCGTGGACCCAGTATTTCCGGAGATCTGACGCCGATCCTATACTTGGCAAAATACACATTTAAGTCTCCAGCTTGTCCGGTCGAGTTAAAATTGTTTAAAAATCTAGTTTTGTTAATAAAAGTCTACACAGCCATTTTCGTAAAAAAATAAAGATGGTAAAGTTAAAATCTTAAGGCGGTTAAAAATATCCTTACAAGAATGCCTATTGCTGACTCCCATCATGCATCTAACCACTCTTTTTTGGGCCAAAAATACTTTTTTGGGCATTTGTAGACAAACCCCAGAAGCATAGTGCATCTCTCAGTCGTGTCTCAACTTGAACATAATAAACAGAAACTATCTGTGCTTCTGTAAGGACAGTTCGAAAATTTTTCATAAGATATGATTGGGAGTTTATCTTTGAAGCAATGTATACACAGTGGTCTTTAAAATTCAAACCTGTATCTAGATACAAGCCCAAGAATTTAACTTGCGTGTTAAAGGACATTCTTGAGCCATTAGTGATATTTAACGTCGTAGGCTTCTTCTGGATGTTGTGAAAATGGACAACTGATGTTTTTTCCGAATTTAAATAGAGCTGATTGCTGCTAAACCACTTGTGAATACCTTGCAATAAAACTCCACAATATCTCTCTAATGTAGCCTCACACTTATTCGATATCACCACTGAAGTATCATCTGCATATAAAATGAATCTACCTTCAGAGGAACTGAACTCAAGGTCATTTACATATAGACTGAATAGCACAGGTCCTAGAATAGAGCCCTGAGGGACGCGTATGGAGATGTCAGCTATGCCGGACTTAATAGGCGCATTCAGACCACTATCGACGATACTCTCAAATTGGGACCTATTCTCTAAAAAAGACCTTATTCAGTGATATGATGGACCATTTATGCCATACTTTGACATTTTTTGCCGCAGCACTTCATAATTGACGCAGTCAAATGCCCTGCTGAGATCACAAAAAATCCCAACAGGGCACTCGCCCGCCTCAATCATTTTGACAAGAGCTTCGTAGAAGCTGTGAATTGCTGTTGCCGTAGATTTCCCATTTTGAAAACCGTGCTGATTCTCTGTCAAAATATTATTATTTAACAACAACAACCTGTCCAGATAGCAGTACTCGAATACTTTTGGAAAAGTTGATGGTATTGTTACTGGTCTGTAAAGCTCAGAGGGATCTCCTTTTTTGTATACTGGAATCATCTTTCCTGTTTTCAGCAGACAAGGAAATTTCCCTGTGCTGAACGATATATTGATCATGAAGACCAGTGGCTTTAAAATTTAATTCAATACTTTTCTTACTATAAAATTTTGGATCTTATCAGGCCCAGACGAATGTTTGTTTTTTAGCTTTTTATTAATTAAGTCAAATAATTCATCATCAGTAAATGGATACAGCAACATCAAATGTCGTGTATCTTCCCTGCTCGAACTAAAGGTATTTTCCTGAGTGGGATTTGTTGGAATATTTATGACGATTTTTAGAGGTGCATTTTTGAAAAACTGATTGAATTCATCAGCACGGTTTTTCTGATTGGATGTTGTAGTCGAACTCATATTATTGTTTTTTTTTGTATTATTTCCGGTCAATTCAGATACAGTCTTCCAGACAGCTTTAGTTTTGTTGCTGGAATTAAATATTTTTTTCTGATAATACCTTCGTTTTGTATGTTCTATTAATTTCTTGTGTTGTCTCTGTTTTCAATATATTGTTGCTTACATTCTGGAACTACCGTTGCTAAATAATGAAGTTCCTTTAAATTGTGACTAGAACGCACTATTTCTTCGTTCACCCACAATTTTCTTTTTGTTGAAACCGTATGCATTCGCCGTGGAAAATTCATCTGAAAGTGGTAGTTAAATACCTCAAAAAGATGTCCAAACGCGAGGCTAACATCGATCATCTTATATACTAGAGACAGGAAGGCGGTGGGGGAGAGCATCAAGGATGATTTTTCGCCAACCAGCTCACACTAGTTAAGAGTTATCATCCACAATCGTATCGTCAACATACCGTGGTATTCGTCAGCCTCAGCATCTGTGATCTCACTGAGCATGTGCTAGTTGGCCACTTATACGCTCCCGTCTCTAAGTTTTTTCAATACAATCATGGACGCCAGCAGGGGGATGCCATGCACCCTCCTCCGAGGATCTAGTTGAACCTTGAAATATACAAATTTAGCATGATTTTGTGTACAATTTTGGAGATTTTTATGATTTGAGAGCAGGTGCACTTCCACAAGAAAGGGATCAACAATTCCCGGGCCAATTTCACCACCATTAATCAGTTTGGACCAATGGGAAAAAACCTTATTGAAATGCAATTTGACGGAAGCTGTCAAAGCTCTCTGAATATCACTGATTCCTATTGAAATGTTGAATAAAGTCGTGAAAAAACGGTTGCCTTATAAATAAGGGTACATTATAGATGTAATATTATGTCTTTGTGCTTTAGAATCAGGATAACTTTCATAGACTTTCAAATTTTTATCATTCCACAAAAGACGGTCAGTTATTTAAATGGACCAATGACAATGAGAGAAATAATAGGTCGATTTTCTAGCTATTATATTTGGTAGAATGTTTTCACTGTTTTTGACGACGTGGATAATGATGTTATCGGTAAATATTCTCTTTTCGGTAAAAATACCGAAAAAGCCGGTTCAAGTCCATGCATAGACAATCTGAAATTTGCAATATGAATTTATATTCTAAATTCTATGCATATCCGATCACATTCGTCAATATTTTATTTGTCATAAGATTTTTAGCAAAATGTAAGATAGTAAAGGCAACACCGCACCCTGCAGCCCAGTGGACAAGAACGACAAGCTGTTAAGATTAGGGATGTTTAGATCCACGAAAAGTATCGTTATGTATCGACTCTTATCATTTTAGGAAGTATCGATCCTCTAAAATATTGGAATAAAATTATCGATATCCAGCGGAAGGAAACAAAGAAGGAAAGTAATCTGAGGTTAGTCACTCTTTCTGACACAGTCCGGATCGAAAGATGACGATACTCGTGAAATGTATTGATACTTCTAAATATAGGATCGTATCGAACATCTCTACTGTCAAGATGTATAACCCGAGGTACCGACGGAGCTATTTTGCGGCGTCGTGGAAATAATTTTAAATTTTCATTTGCATTTTTTCAAATGTTGTTCAACGATTTTGGAAAAAATTCCACGTATAGTCTTATAAAGCATAGTAGAGTATATTAATTTTAACAGTTGGCGGAGCTTACTCCACTGGGATCAAGGGTTGACGGATCCCGATCCCACACATGTATCACTCGTTGGGGAGTTTTGAAATGTAATTACTATTTATGACTTATTCGTAATTTGAATTTCTCTTCATTGACAATAGAGTGCCCATTCCTATGCCAAACCCTTTCCAATGATTTTCTTTTGGTAAATATAATAGTTATTGATTGTATAATTTCACTCGTATTATATCTTTCTTTCTCAGCGATTCAGTATGGTGTTGACGATCAGCAAAAAACTCTGTAGTTTTTCTCCGTTAGTTGGTTTCCTATAAGTCACATCTTCTTCAAAGCCACTCAAGATACCTTCTTCTAGAACGTAACGAGTTCGGCGTGATTCGCTTTTCTGTTTCCGTTGAGGTCGTGGTGCAGGGGTCGTTTCGTCATTTTCCGGACTCTGGGATATTAGGCCCCAAGCGCCAATTCATGGACTAGCACCCTTTTTTTGTGTAACTTAAGTTTAGTCATTTTACATTGTATTTTTGTTAATTTATTAATTTTAACTGCTGGAAAGGTAATCTATTTTATCTGCTATTGTTTGCCTATCGTGTCCATTTTTAGATATCTAATTTAAGCTATTGTTTGTTGTTGCGTGTCATTTTATTTATCATTTTTGTTTGTTTATATATATGTAAATTGTTTGCTGACGAACCCTACACATGTTTTATACATTTTATTATTTAGCGCTGCCATTCATGAATTCTATGTCATATTATAACAGGTTTGCTCAATACTTAACATATATCCTTGAGTTTAATATGCTAGCGTTCAAACTGTTAAGATTTTTCTTAATTCATACCAAAACAATTGACTCAAGCCTCCTCGTTTGTATCACAGAAATTCCTTTAAATATAGGGTAAGTACAGGGTGGACCATTACGAGGTTTCAGAAGGATCTTGACAGTGACAATTTCAAATTGTAATTACATTTTAACGAAAGGATTAAAAGGAATCAGACTCATAACTTAATCTACAAACCTCGTAAATATTAAACAATGCAAAATTAAAACAGTAGCAATAAAAATATCATAAAGCTCCTTACGTTTCTTCAGCTGGCGTTCAATGCGCTAGGAATATTTTGGATTTTGAAGACTTTCGAAAAACCGCAATATTATTTTTTTAAGCATCTCGTCAGTAAAATCGAGGTATGATTGGATTTTTGCATGCGGGGAGTTGGAGCTATGATGAACAGTTAGATAATTATGCAATTTTTCAATAAAATATTAACACCTGCAGATAATTTGTTCACTCTGCACCTTCCAATAAAGTCTGCGGAGTAGTTTTTTTGGGAATTTTGCTATGTAGTTTTGCTATGGTACACATTCATATGTTGAGTAATTTTTGTGGAAATATGTTGAACCAGTCTGAAAATTCGGAAATCTGTAAGATTGAAAAAGAATTGTAAATTCCTTTAAAAGTTAGACCAAACATTCAGTGTTTATGCTTTGTGATTAGATATGAATGTAACCTCATTTTATGAATATAACCGGGGCCTGGAGATAAGATTTTTTGGCGAAGACTATCAAGATGTACTCAGGTTCAAGGAAAATGTAACACAACAACTTCACTGATATTATCGCCTCAGATATGGATATCATTAAAAACTAATAATAGCATCTATATGCATTTCAATCTGTTGTTGTATGCTTTTTCAGAAAGATCACTGTATCTGTGGTGTGAAGTGTACTAGCCAGGATGGTGTACGATATAAAGAATAAAGTAGCTCTCATTACCGGAGGAGCTTCAGGAATAGGCTTGGAGTATGCCAAAGAGCTACTGAGGAATGAAGCTAAGGTAGGACTAGAGAATACTTAACATGCAAAAACTAAAACATACGTCCGTCTGATTAAAGCTATTTTTGTGAATATGAATACAGATATCTAAAGCAACTGTAAATATTGTTGTGCTAAAATGCAAATTCAATTTCGAACACTGCCAAGATTTCCAAAAACTTTCGATGCTCAAAATTTTGAATACTGGAAATTTCAAAATCTTGTTAATTCCGAAAATCTTGAAGATTCTTAAAATGTTGATAATTTGAATATTCTGAAAATTCTGATGACATCGAAGAATTTCAAAATCATGAACGTTTTTGAACTGAAATGTTGAAAATATTCCAAATTTTGAAACTTTGCCGAATTTTGAAAACCTGTGGTACCGACTATTCTGAAATGCAAATGGTAAATCATCCCTTGAACGTTCCCACTTGTCCACAAAAACTAATTCATAAATCGAACTGAAAAATGAAAAAGAAATACTCGTTTGAAAAAACTAAAAAAACAAAAAAACGCTTTTATAGCTAACCGAACTAATTTTGAATTACACTACTACTATAATATAAACTCTTTATAATTAAAAATTATTTTCTACTTTTCAATTCGGTTAGCTATAAAAGGTTGTTTTTTAGTTTTTTAAACTATTATTTATTTCTTATATCAATGCCAATGCAGTTTCCAAAAAAATGGCCGATTCTAACATACCACGAGTAAAGTCCGAGTTATTAGCTGACAAATCATAGCACAAACGTAGTCATAACACAATGAAACTCTTCTGTTTTTGGAATAATTATAGTTCATAGTTCAATAGCGGTAGGGCTATTATGTAACTTGAAAAGTGACATTACGAGTATGTCAGTTTTTTTGACAAGACCTCATCTTGAAACTACCTGTCGTTCACTTCATGCTCGCTTGTAGCAAGCGTGGAATGAGCTATTTGCACACTAGCCTACTTAGTCAACGACATTTTATCGTTTTTTTTTACATTATATAATTTTTTTACGTAATAACCCTGCGAATAATCATAGCATACGCACGACCTGTCAACTGTCACTTTTGTTTAGCGTTTTGCTTTTTGACTGTTTTTCGAAACTGTAGACTTCTTCTGAATCAAATTGCTTGGTGAACAAATAAACGGATTTTACTCCAGAAAGGACAATCAAAAGTAAGCTGACAAATTGGTTAAGGCTTTCGCGGCCAGTAGTTTGATAAACTGCTGTCTTGATTCGGGTCTAAAGGCCATCGTCGGTTGGAATTTCGCTAGCACGAGTGGCAAGCTTCTTCAGAGTTCTTTCCATTTCCGATGCTGGATGTAGACTGACGATTTCTCTTGCGCAGGTTGTATTTATACCGGAGGGTAGGGGACGTGGCTTGTTCCGCTACGGTTGACTTCGGGATGTCGATCGGCCCTGCTCGGGAGTTTCTGAGGATCAGGTGCCAGATCGGGTTGAGTCTGAGGGTCTCTTCCTTCCTGTTGAAGTTATCTGGATGTTTGTGAATCTCGATAGCTTCCCTGACCAGTCTATTGTGATAGCCGTTGACTGATGACAGCAACCTGCAGCTCCCAAAGTGTATCCTGTGGGCCCCAACGATCGGCATCCAAGCATACAATATACCATGGAGATAGAGAGTGACCAACAACTGGCCTTCTTGGACGTACTAGTCAGGAAGCGAGGTAACAAGCTGGGTCACACAGTGTACAGGAAACCAACGCACAGACAGATACCTGCATGCTTTGTCGAATCATAAACCAAGTCAAAAGTATGGAGTCATCAGAACCCTGACAGAACGAGCTCGAAGGATTTGCGAACCGGAGAACCTCCAGACAGAACTTGAACTCGTAAAAACTGCGTTCGAAGCAAACGTCTACAGCAAGAGGGACATCGAAAGATCAATGGGCTCGAGATCAGCCAGGCCACGTGAAACAGAACAGCGTCCCACCACCTCTCAAACGTATCTTCCATTTGTGCCAAGAGTCACGGACAGGATTTAGACCCGAATCAAGACAGCAGTTTAAAAAGTAAGCTGTCACATCCGTCAGTGCCAGTTTATTTTTCTTTTGGTAGAAAAGAGCCTGCTGTGCATATCGATTTAGCAAAATGCCATCTGTCCAATAGAAAGTCACAGCTTTAAATGTTAAAAGTTGGTTAACTTCTTGTGTTTATGTTTTATTTCTGCTATGTTGGAGTGTGAACGGTCTAGTTTAAACCAGTGGTTGTAGCTTCGCTATGTTTATGATATGGTTATGCTAGAGTATAACCCGGGTTTTACGTTACAACATTATTAATTCGTCATCAACATCCGAGATTACGCACGACAGAAATGCCAACAGGGCAGTAAACCAATTATCCCAAATTCCACCTGCGATGTTTTACTCGGAGTTGATACTGGTATTCGAGAAGTTACTTAGTCGCTAATTTCATGCTTTATAGGGCGTGGTGTTAGCTGATCTCAGCAAGGAATTTGGATCGAAAGCGGTGCAAGAGATTGAACAGGAGTTTGGACCCAACAAAGCAATTTTTGTACAAACTGACGTCACGGACTACAACCAATTTGAAAGTAAGCTATATGGTTGTAAGTGTGAACGACTAATATCTAACTCCAATAATTTATAGATGCATTCAAGAAGGCGATAGAGAAGTACAAGAATCTGGATATCCTATTTAACAATGCGGGTATACTGAATGATGCGATATGGCAGAAAGAGATTGCAGTGAATGTAGTAAGTTGAGATTTGATAGCTTGATCCTCCAAAGAGATTATCAAATATTTCATTTTTGTTTCATGTCCACTTCAAGATCATTATTTGGACATGTCTAATGTAATAACAGCGTTACGTATTGTTATATTGTTCCCAAAAATGAGAAACTCCCAAAAAATTCGTCAAGATACCGGAACCACTATCTACAAAGTAACTACTGAAATAATGTATTTAATAACAACAGTAAGATGCAAGTTTCCAACAAGCACAAGTAAACTGTGAAGGCGTGATGCGACAGAGTACTCAAATACTTGCTAAAACAAACTTAAGATAAACTATACTAAACAAGGAATTCACATTAGCTAAAAGGACTTGTTTGTCTCCTAATTCTCAAAGTCTGCAGTGGCGCTCAAAGTGCGCTTGACATAAGCCAATTCTGTCATGAAATTCGTATATTTAGTGTTATTTTTTAAAAGTGCGAGTGTATGCAGATAATTGTGGTGGATTTCTTACATATTTTGCAAGAATCGGCACAAGTCTACTGAAGGTAGATGTTTCCACCGATAAGTATTATTATTATTTTGTTGATACGCGTGTCATTTTGATAGGCATTGATAGACAAATGAGTTAAAAGTGCGCACGTAATTATGGCGACAAACAATCCAATGTAAATATATAGGCTTGACTTCTAATCTCTTCGAATTCATTGTTACGAAAACTGCATCGAAGCTGTGGAGCCTTTTTAGAGGATCACAGTTGAACGCGATGCTGACTGCAATAGATCCACCTCGGTCGTAGTGCACGAGGTAGTCCGCAAAGACGCTCTGTTGTGAGTGGAGTAGCATTGGAGGAGTAATGCTGGTTATAATGTTCCAGGCTACAAGGAAGCCCATATGGGTCTCAGTAGTATTAGACGTGTATGCCACCCTTTACCCTCTATAGTAGGGAAGCCCGAGAGACCAAATTAGGACATACTCGAGAGTCGTAGAGAGCTAATGAGTTTTGAAGATTTTTTAGTGGTGGGGGGATCTGCAGGTTTCCACAACAAAAATAGAAAAAATAGTTCCATAGCAATAATCAAATACTAATATTGGAGGTATCTAATCTACCGGTTTGTACCGGATGGATCATTAATAAGACCCGAAGTGGAAAAAATAGCAGCTATAGCTGGCCTCCGTAACGACGTTGGTTGATACCTCGTAAGGATGAGCTCTTCTGACCGAAGCCACAAATGTGCCTGCTGGCTCTTAGTGCTGGCTTCTAGTTGTATTTTCCTTCCCATCATTGTTTTCCTCCAGGTAACACCAGTATCTAGATGTGATGGACGTATGTTTTTACTTCGGCGAATACATATCCATTTTGGCCTGATACAGCCAACAAGCAGAAACGTACATCGCTCGGGTTACCAATCCTTCCTTTCTTCTTCATCTAAGTTCCGCAAGACTTTGTATAACGAATATGTGTCTTCCCTTTTGCAGTTCAACCTTCTATATCTAGTCTTGATGCTGTAATCTAATCTAAGATAATAATGTGGGTGACCAGCTCAAAATTTTAACATTTCCAGAACGGAGTAGTGCACGGAATGCTCCTGGGCATGGACAACTACCTCCCCAAATACAAACAAGGCGACGAAGCCGTGATAATGAACATATCTTCAACGGCAGGGATCCAAGGTTATGGCCACGTGCCTGTTTACTGTGCCACCAAACACGCTGTACACGGAATGACTTGCTCCTGGGGAGTACCGGAGTTCTATGAGGAGACCAAAGTTAGAGTTGTGGGGATACACCCGGGAGTTACGCATACCCCGCTTATATTTAACATGGTCGGAAGCAACTTTGGAGGGAAGTACGAGGCGCACTTGCAGAATCATATGGCGGAGTTTTTGACACAAGAGTAGGTCTAGATAACTTTTCACTGATTCATGGTTAATGCTGTAAAGTAAGCAACGTCGTCGATTAACGTATTCCACCTAAATATACCCAATTAAAATTTTCATTAGAGGCGTCAAAAAGGGACTGAATAGATAGAATACAGTACATGGTTTGTCATCTTTAGGTAGAATACGTTCACATGCTTCGTTTCGCGAAATATGTTACCTGAAAAAACACTTATTGATATCAAAAAAATATAAAACCCGAGTTGCACAGCTAATCATAAAAATGCAGGCAAATGATTGAGGTTCAAACATATAAATATTCTGAAGGAGTAAACTTGTTGGAATGGAACGTTTCTAGAATGAAATGTAACTGAAACCCAGGTTTTTTGTCACAGGAAGTTGATTGTCTAGGATTGTCTTTCAAATTTTTGTTTGTTTGTTTGTTTCAGATTTATTTAGCATTAATGCTACTATGTCTTCAAGACTACATATTTTATACAAAATTTCATTACTATGAATTCTGGTTTTCCATGAGATATGTTTTCAATTTCTCTTTCAACATTTTCAAACTGACACACATCTTGATATCATTACTTAATTTATTAAATTCGAACAATTGTACACAATTTTTTTAGGCTATGCGAAATTCTATAAAAGTAATTTATTTTCTTGGATATTTTCGAAATAATATGTATATTCATAGTGCCCTTCAAATTTTAATTTACTGTCTACGTATATGCCCAAATATTTAAATGATTCGATTGGCACAATTTTTTCATGATTAATCGTAAGGTTTATCGTATTTTGATCTAAAGATTTTCCTACTAGCATATATTTTGTTTTGTTTGTGTTTAGTTTAAGTTTATTTACATTTAACCAATTTATTACGTTTTTCATATCATTATTGAATAGCTCTATTGTAGTTTCAATGTCTTTATTTGATATATATATATATTAACCTATCATCAGCAAATAGTTGAATTTTGCAGTGTTGTAAAATATCAGGAATATCGTTAATATTATAAAATAAACAGTAATGGACCTAATTTGCTACCCTGTGGCACACCTACCGAAATGTCTTTAATGTTTGATAATGTATTGCCAATTTTAGTTCTTTGACCTCTATTGATTAAATAATTTCCATAATCATGTATAACAACAATTACAATAATAATTTATAAGTGGCAAGATTTAGCTTCACCCGAACGGCACAAAACCAGTATTTCATGTAGTCCGCGGTATCAGTAATTACTAGTATCAGTGTCAGCGGATCTCATAGATTATGTATCAATAATTACTAACGCTCTGTATACGCGGTCAGTAAATGTCACATTACATGATCAATACTGGCGAATCACAGTAAATTCGGACCGATAATATTCGCCTAAAACTACTCATTCAACTAACCTTAGGTAGATGAAGTTACAGGTCAAAGCTAAAATATGAATCATAGGCACATAGTCAGGCCTTGTTTCAAAAATAATGGGGTTCTAATTAGATGACGCATTGTATTTTTTCAGACCCAACCATGTCGCCAAAGAAGCAATGGAAGTCATCAAGAAAGCACCACATGGCACAAGTTGGGTAGTTGAAGGTGGACAACCTGCTTATCAATTCATCATGCCGGACCACAGAACAACTATGAGAAACAATACCTTACCATGAAACGTTATATTTATGTTTTTTTATATAAATATACATACATCTGCATCTGTTCGTCATTCTTTCCTCTTCTACACAAAAAGTACACATACAAGGGGCGCGTATTTTCAACGGTCAAGAATATACAGGTTTTCAAAACATATGCACAAATCCAATGGAGTTGGCTACTTCGAATATTAAAGAAGTATTGAATCACTCCATAAAGCCAGGCATTAATAGGGCGAGGCAGTATTCTGACGACTTTGCCTGCCAACAAATGTCATGGAAAAATTGTTTATTGATTTCATTTTTAGACACGGCCTAAATACTTGTATGTCGCTCAACGACAGCTAATTTATTTACACTGTACCTTGTACCCAAATGGCACAAAGAGCACAAACCATCGACAGAAGTTTAAAAATGAAAATCACAAAGGAAAGTGAGAATTTAAACCAAAACCATCCAAAATAAACATCGACGGAAAAAAGTGAGGTTGACATTGGTGACACCTGTGAAGAATGTCAAACTTGTCCAGAACGTCTGGCTGAGCAAGGTAGCATGATAATAAACTACTTGAGAATAAAATTACTTCAAACGTTTATGCATGACTTGATTTTTTTATAGAGACTACTTCATATTCGATGGCAAAATATATTTTTGTTCTACCAAAGACCTAGTAATATTTACTTCTACAACGGATGATCCGTATTTTGTATTTTAATGCAAATAATCACGTAGCAAATACAAAATTGTCATTGGACGTGTACACCGCCATCTCAAATGATGCATGCAAACAGAGTTGCCAAATCAAAAAACACGAAATTGTTAAATAGTGTCGTTGGAATTCGGTAGATTCAAGGACCAAATCGGTAGGAACAAAAAATCAGGGCCGCTGAAGATCAGCGGCGGAGAAATGGATTTTAGGCCACGCAGCGCCATCTATGAAAAGTATATTTTCGTATAGCGCGGACATACAACATAGTTATACAGAGGGTCTCTATGAATATAAAAGCATATTAAAATAAACTTTGCAAAAAACACAACACAATAACAAAGTTTACATTTTTTCCATGAACAAAATATAATGTCCATACACCTTTAGCTACTATGGATGTACAACAGGCACAACGCAAAAATAATTATTATGATATAACAAAATCACTTCCATTATTTTTAATTTTAACACTATTTCAGATTTGTTAGGACCCAAGAAAAATTTTCTCTTGGTTGGTCTGTGACTTTCGAACATGGAGGTAACACCCGATAGATCTCTAAAGCAGGGCCAGTTTGTGTGCATTTGGCGTCATCTCTTTTCCCTGTATCTCTGTATAGGAACACGGTACCCAATTGATATTAAGGCCTTAGGCCTTCGTGATGGTTCAAGCATAAAAAAACCATCATGGTTAGTGAGTGAATAGCTGATTTAAGTTTTTTTGTATGATGCTTCTTTTCTACTTGAGTTTACAGTTTTACCGTTCTATTATTTGTAATACGACGATCTAATTATTTTATTCAATATGTATTGTCTTTCCGTTATGTATTATCTACAAGTATTTATATTACAGAAATTCTAGAGTGCTATCAAGACTACTTGAATTTTCAAGAAAATACTAGATAGACAGACGTAAAAACTACTTGATATCAGATTGCTAATATCTAATGTTTGATTTGAACTTGACTTTAAGTCAAGAGAATAAGCGAACTTCCATCAGGAATCAAATACTTGACGTAAATACCTGTCACCGAGTATTGTTATTCTTTTGGTTTGATATTGCTTTATTATCGTCAAAGATGCCAGGCGGTTATATTAGCAATGAAGAAAACTTCGACTTGCTGGCATGTTACATCTTGTGATATAAAAGTTCTAAAAATACTGCAGAAATGAATCTTGATAAATTTCTCGAAAAAAAGACGGTCAAACATTTTGTAAGAGCAGTTGCTAAGAAGTCCGAGATATCAACTAGACACATTTAGGAGTAGCTAAATTCATAGCCCAATTTATTTTACGTAAAAATAGATATCACTCCTATAAATTCAGGATTTGTCGAAGACTTGGACCAGGGGATATCGGCACCAGCATTTTTGTGGGTGGCACATACGATTGTTTGAAGGATATTTTAATTTCCGTTCAAAAATAATATGGTCTGACAACAGTATGGTCACTTATAATGGTACGTTTAATCGTCGCAACACTCATTATTGGGCTCAAGAAAATCCTGAGGCTGGAACAGTATCCCGACATCAAGAACGTCTTGGGTTCAATAGGTACGTGGTGTGGAATTGTAGGGACCAAAATATTAGGTCCATTTACCTACCATAACTCAGTAACAGCAGAACGGTACCTTCAATTGTTGCAGCATGATCTAGAAGATTGCCTGGATAATTTACGTTTGGCACAGATTAATAGCTGCTGGTTTTCACAAGACGGTGCTCCTGCACTTACATTAATGGATAAAAGTATATAGACAAATATGAATATTTACCTAAATACCTTTAGAAAACGAATTCATACATCATTGCTCCATAAACAAATGCGTTATTAGTAAAAAAACTAAATTCCTAGTTTTTACATTATCTCCAATGAACACAATTCAAGTCAGAATATAAACACTTTTTTATGAGGGACAAAAATATGTAAACAAATTATTTTCAACAATAGTACAGTTTCGTGTCAGAAGAGGATTAGTTTGTGTTCATCAAGAATTGTGGAATAAGTTGAGTGATTTTAAGACCATGCCGCGTGGTCCAGAAATTTCTTTTGATGTGAAAACTAAGATCATTTAGTTATACAAAGATGGTCAACGTCAAGTCCACATTGCCAAAAGTTTGAAGCTGAAGCGTAAAGCAGTTTGGGCAAGATTGAACAAATATAAACAAAAAGGTATCTTGGAAGCCTCTAAGAGAAGTGGTCGGCCTAGAAAACTAAATGCTAGATCAGTTAGATTAATAAAAGTAATTTCGTCCAAAGATCCGTTTAAAACCCCAAGACAAATAAAAGCCGAAATCGAGACAAAAGGAATTGTCAGTGTTTCTACGAAAACTATAAGTAGAAGATTAAACGATTTGAAGTTATTTGCACGTCGCCCGACTAAGAAGCCGCTAATCTCGAGGAAAAACCATAAGGACCGATTACAATTTGCACGGTTGCATCTTGATTGGAGCATCTGTGACTGGAAGAGGGTATGTTTCAGTGACGAATCCAAGTTCAATATGTTTGAATCAGATGGTGTTCATTACGTAAGACGTCCTAGTGGACAAAGATTCAACCACAGGGTCTGTTATGGTTTGGGGGTGCTCTTCGGCGTTTGGGATGGGGTCTTTACATAGAATAGATGGCATTATGGATAAGTTTGTATACACAGACAGACTAAAGCATGACATGTTACCCTATATGGAAGACAATATGCCCTTAAAATCAATCTTCCAGCAAGATAATGACCTAAAACACACTTCAAATCTCGCAAAGAAATTCTTTCTGGATGAAAGAATACTAGTTCTCAAATGGCCTTCACAGTCTCCCGATATAAACCCCATTGAAAGTCTATGGGAATACTTGGATAAGCAAATACGAGATAAAAATTATTCAAACAAAGATGAACTTTTTGCCGCTTTAGAGCAAAAGTGGAGACAGATTGATGAATCTTATATCAAGAAACCTCTACAATCTATGCCGAGACGATGCCAGGCGATGATTGATGATAATGGTTATGCTACAAAATATTAACACAAACATGGTTGGTTTTCTATAATTCAGTGAACTTTGCTTCTTTTTTCTATAATTGTTTTGCTTTGTCTATTTTCCATCCTGTCTGCCGCACCCTGTATTTGACAAGCGCAATTTTAAGTTCCGAAACCGAAATAAGCTATGTAGCAAATGAGAAACATTTTGGAAATTGGAAAAAAGCGATCCTAGCGATTTTGAAACAGCTCGGCGGTAAATGCCAGGGTTAATTGGATTTTTCCATGCTAAGTGTGGTAAGCTAGTTATGTTGAAAAGCTGAGATAATCATGCAATTTTTCAATAACATGTTGACACCGTCGACTTGTTCACTGCGTACGGAAAGAGTATAAGGAATAGTACTTTGCGATTTTTGTCCTACATTCAGGAAATACTCATTCATTAGTTGTAACGCGAGTAATTTTTTAAGAAACATGTGAAAACAGTTCGAAAAATAAATTATCCGGTATTTTTTATGATTCGGGAATCTGCAAAATTTCAATTGAATTAGCCTACAGATAAGATATTTTTGTTATGACGACTGCTAAGCTGTATTAGGTAATGATGAAAAATGAACATAACAATTTCATCGATCTTATCACCTCAGCCGTGATTATCATTCAAAGTTATTAATAGCCATTATCATTTTAGTCTGGTGCTATAGATTTCTCTCTCAGAAGGGTTACTCGTCTGTGGTGTGAAGTGTACTAGGCAGGATGGTGTACGACATAAAGAATAAAGTAGCTCTTATTACTGGAGGAGCTTCAGGAATAGGCTTCGAGTATGCTAAAGAGCTATTGAGAAATGGAGCTAAGGTACGACTATGATACTCAACATACTATTTTTTCTTGGAGATTATAAATAGACATCTAAAACAACTGTAAGAAATGATTTCTCGTTGGATCTTACACAAACAATAACGTTCAACGGCGACTTTAATAAGAGATGCACCGAGTAGTCAGTTTGTACCCGGTACTCGGCATTCTCGACCGATTTTACCGAGTACCCAGACGTTGAGTATTAAATAAAAACGCATTAGTGTTTGCCTAAAACCTAAGGAGAGAGCATTACTCAAATTAAAAATGTGATCCTTCCTCCCACACTCTGCTTACTTTTTTTATTTAGAAATGTGCCAAAAAATTCTGGAAGACTTTGCGTTATATTCTTCTGACAATTTTGCTGTCATCCGCAAAGCTATTGCGACTTGAAGAGCTCTGAAATTAAGTTTGTGAATTTGATTGTTCTTATTTTTTCTTATGTCACCTCAAATGCAGTTTCCAAAAAATTAACCGTTGTTAGCATACTAACAAACATACCATTTTGTTAGTTTGTCATTACCATATGAAGTCCCACAAAA